GGGGGGGTACGCAGAGGGTGGGGTAGTGGTTAAAAGTGTAGGTGCAGGTCCATTCCATGCCAGCCGCGGGCATCTGATCCTGCCTCTGCTTTTCTCGGCTCATTCGTGTCACCAGGTCCAGTTGGGCAAGAAATTAGAGAGTGCGGTTGATTCTGCGCAAGTCCTCTGTCAACAAACTAATTCACTCTCAAATCACCGTCGCTGTACCCGAAGCTGTTGCAGAGCACACGGTGTCCATCGTGAAGATCGTCAACCGAATTGTCTTGCCAGCCCCTGTGTCCTGGCCCACTGTCGTTCTTGTCATTGAAATGGGATGGGTTTTGTAAAAGAGTGAAATCCATGCCGCAGAGTCACAATTATTTTTCTAGAACGTACTCTTCCTCGTGTCACTGTCTGAATGTGCTCTTAATATTCTGCCCATTAATTTTTAGGTTGATTAATAATTGATCTAGCGTTCTTTTCACAGCACGTAGTTTCAGCGGTGTCAAGAACTTTCAATTGCCACAAATCTTACGTTATTTCGAACGGCATACCAGACTCGCTCCTTTATCTAGCGACTGACCACCCGGCGCGTCTACGGATGATGGTGAAATGACTCCCAGAAAATGTTAGCTGAGAGATATGTGGGCTCTCAAGTATGTCGAATAAGCAGCCCCGGACTAGCGGAGAAAGACTGAGGTCGTACACGCCGACCGCCTTATAGAATACAGCAGAGCCCGATGACGGCACTGCTACCGTCGGTTGCCATTACATAGACTTATTAGCTACTGCTGTTTTATGGTTAGGTTCTTGAGTTAATGTGTTACAGAAGACAACCTCGAACAATCAACCTGAGCAGCTATCAGGGTCTGATCATATTCAAACTTTCCCAGAATACGCTTTGAACAAATTTTCAAAGCAAATCTTGTGATCATATTACGGCTTCCACGAGGACCCTACGCTCTACACTGATGCAGCCAAACAATATGCGATTTAGTTTTCTCATTCGTTGCCTGATCGTTTGTATTAGATGCGATTTATTAGTATTATTATGCGGGCACTTTTTGACGCTGGTTCTCACAATCAGACGGTAGGCAGAGTTCAATGTAACGCGGTACCAGAATTTGGCCGTCT